TTACACAAGTCACAGCAGGTTTTCTTTATATGTTCTTCAGTTTCTTCGTGTGTCATACAAATATCAACATTCGTCTTGAGCAACTCTTCAATTTTCAACGCCACTTCAGTTACGTCATCCATGAAACGATTGACTGCTTCCCCAGGCCCACTGCTTTTATTACCTCTATATATTTTAGGCATCGTTTGAATATTAAACTGTTGTAATAATTTTGTGGGTACACTGTCGGCTGTTTTTACTATGTATCCATAGCTCATTGCAACATGTTCATGAAAAAATTTANATGGTATTAATGCCATGTTTGTAATGTATACACACTATCATCATATGTATACACAGTAATCATGAAAAGATAGCGTTTTCTTCGTTTTCTTGTNAAAATTTATGTTGCCTTTCGTATCATTGTTGGACTTGACCAACAGGCTTTCAAAATCAGCATAAATTGCAAATGGATGTTCCTGTGTTTTGCCCCATGACTCGAACTTTAATTTAGTGCCCTCTTCAGGCATTACAGGTAAAAACGGTTTGTTTTCGCCACAAATTTTTTTATGTTCTTCTAGCACCTCAACTCCATGTAGTTTATACTTTTTAGGTATATTATTAAAGCCTGTGAAACACCGTTTACAAAATATCCTTTTTGCCGTATTCTTTGTTATTTGTGATTGTACCAATCGACCAAAATCAGTATTATAAATGTAATCACTATCACCCGCGGCATTTGACACAATTAACAAATCGATATGGTCTTTACGTTCTTCAGCGCACACTTTCAGCGGATAAACTAAATATTCGGATTTATTATGTATATCTTTTAATTTTAGTCCGAAAACATTAACTGAAGTATGCGGATTATTTTTTTCGAAAATTTTTATGTCTGAAATCTGTGTTGGGAAAGATAAACCGGAGAAATTGTAAGAGTTTTCTATAGACTTATAGTTTTGTTCTACTGTATGTCTTTTACCTTCCGTAACTTTTTTCTCCAATATAGCCCATTTGAAACATTGTTGATCTATATTTTGTGGGTTTATTACAGCTCTTCTCATTTTAATGCCATGCGGCAAATCAATGTAAGAATTGCCACCTAAAGGCTGATATTTGTAAACACCCAGTAAAATACCGTCTATATTAGAAAACGAGAAATTACTACCTTTACCAGCATAATTTTCCTGTTCTTTTAATAATTTTGTGTATGAAATATCCACAGCATGATCGATATCGTCCTCGTTAATTAATTCGGCTGCCGACGTTTTAAATGACCGATTTTCGTACTTGGTTTCATTATTCGGCATAATATAAGTCGCCTCAAGTTTTAAGTTGAATTTTATCGGTCCCATTTCTTTAAGACAGTCGCGTAGTTTTTCAACTAATTCGTCTCTTGTTGCCGATAAAAACGATTGATACACGGCTAAATTTTCAATATTCTTTTTGTAAAACCATAAAATTTGACTATTTAATGATTCACCCGTTTTATGAAAACCGGTCGTCGTAATGTCGTGTAATCGTTTCACCTTTACCCGTTTACATTTAATCGTATTGTCGGTGTTACATTGTTTGCGACGTTTAGAACTAATTGCACTGGGGCCCGCCTGCATTCTCTCCGCAACATTTACATTTTCTAAAAACAAATATTCATGTATTTATTTTAGCATATAAATTTTTAATAATATATTTTCTTTACTTACCACTCGTTGACATAGCCCTCGAATCAGCATGATTTCCAATAGCAATATTATAGTCCACGCCATACTTTACGAGGTCTAAAATAATACACTTATATTAACACTCTACTAATATATTTTCTCTTTTCATATTACTAGTGACACGGTCCCGCGTCGTTCTCTATACACGGAGCCCCGCGACCCGTGACACCTTTATCAGCCGCCGCCCTACCACGTGCATATGGTAGTTTGACTGACTAACACCGCGTGCGATACGCCACGGTACAAAGTCCAGCAAGTGCCGCACGTCCTAGTGATGGCAACCTGTTATTAATTTTGATAACTGTTACAATCTGTTATTGTTACTTTCGAAATAACAGTTACTGTTATTTTCTTAGAAAATGTTATCTTTGTATAAAATTGTTATTAACAGTGATATAACTGTTATATTTGTAAAAAGTATTGTAGGCAACTTGTTATCAATTTTGATAACTGTTATTTGTTACTTTCAAAATATCAGTGATGTAATTGTTTTAAATAATAAACACTATTAGTAACAATAACAATAAACAATAATAAAATAACTATTTTAAATAAAATAAGAATTTAACTGTTAAGAGAGGAGCAACAGGTAATAATTTATCATAAAAAACTAAAAAAATAATTGTGATAACATAATAATATTACTGTAAAACCAAGGTAGATTCATTAAATGTCAGAAATTAGCGCTCCTAGTGTTGTAAATTTCAAATATGAGACTAAATACTATGCGTGAAATATTGATGACCTTGCGTAATACAAAATAACAGTAACTGTTACTATTTCTTCCGAGTAACAGCTTGTTATTGATACTCAAGCAATAACTGTTATAAATCACTGTTACTGTTATTTTTTCCCATCACTAGCACGTCCATCGACGACCCGCCGCAAATATACGTTAAGTCATCTCCGTGACATCGTATCGTTTTGATCGCTCACCGTCAACTCTACTGTGCCGAACACTCAGTTATGAACTTTTGTGCCTTTTGTATATGCTTATGAATATATATTTGTCATCTTTAGTTTTATTGTAGTCTGTTTGACATTACGCCTTCCAGGGCAATATACAGTTTTGTTCGAACACCAATAAATATTCCTACATTTTGTTTCGAACCATCAAAGTGTTGCGTTTTCTTTCCTTTCTTCACATTATAACATCCCGCGAGTGCGGCAAAATACCGACCGCAACACTAGTTTACTAAATAATCAATAATTGATTATTATAATAATACAATTATTGTAATACTCACGGTGAATTGTCTTAACATGACGCGAGAGTGTCCATTTGTCCGAAAACGTAGATGGACATAATTAACACTTAAATAGTATACCATCATGACTCTTTTGATGACATACCAGTCCAGGTTTGAATGCAAACACTTATTTACACTTGTCACAAGAAAACATTTTAAAGATGTTTAACTGTCACAGCACTATTAATTTTACTCAAGCGATAATCCGTCTTTTATGCAAACATACTCAATTATACGGAAAAATCGCATATTTTCATAGGGGGTCAACAAATCACAGATCACATATCCCCGTAAACTAACCCATTCCTTCACCACTTAAACATTTCTAACTTATAATTACTTATTAATTACAATTTAATAAGTAATTTCTAAAAAGTATTCATTTTTTCATAGCCCCCCTTCTTATGTACCCCCACATATAGATTAACCCCCCATATTTGTGATATCTACTGTCATGGGAGAGCCCTCTCCATTATACTCTTAACCTTTCATGGGAAGGGGACCCTATGCCGTTCACCATATCCTCCGCCCGTTTACATCGCCCGTCCACCTATGACAGGGTAAACCCACATCATGTGGGTGGGGGGACTATGCCTTTTATCATATCCGCCCGGCTGTTTACACCGCCCGTCTACCTATGGCAGGATAAACCCACAACAAGTGGGTTTGGGAGAGTCCTTATTCATATTTTATAGTACTATTACATATAATCTATAAATTTATTAAAATTAAAAATAATTAAATTTATGTAACTTAATACCAATGAATAAACATGTGTACTTAATAAAAAAATACAATGTATGTCCTGAACCAGCTTTTTAAATTTTAGTGGTCCCCAATATCCTATAATCAAGAAGGTTTTCTGAACACAAAGACACAATATTGAAAATATAAAATACAAACAACTTTGTTGGGAAACAATTCTGATGGGTCAATGTATTACCCTTTTGGCATCAGATTTGAACTACATATCGCCTATTACCAATTGAGTCTAATGAATGTATATGGGACGATCCCTCAAAGAAATTGCGACACGGGAAATCAGTAAATGTTTATATTCTTAGAACTTCTTTTACTTAAAACCGCCATAACTTTTTGAAAAATAGAAGAATCAAAGCAAATGTTCTTTAACACATTCATATCTATTCTAAATTAAAAATTATGTAATATACTTAATTTGGAAAAAAATTTTACCTCTGCACTTGGATTATATTATATTTATTATATTTAATACAACATAATACATATTTATCTAAAAAAAAACTGTAGTACAGTGAGATCGTGGCACAGCGTAAACGTGGTATAGTTGGGACAAGAATAGATGATATCTGACTAATTAAAATCAAAATCATAAGAAACGCTTCAATGCAAATCTGTAGGTAGGTGTATATGCTTATTAAACTTCATAAAATAAATTAATTTTAAAAAGTTGGTGGATTATACCAAAAGCAAAATTAATTCCTATTCCCTTTATTATTAATAAAGTGTTAATATTAAGATTTTGCGCCTAGCAAAGTCTATCTTTAATTTGTGGTCACACTAATTGGTCACCGGTCGTTTCTCCCATCACTGGTCAAGTTAATCTGTGGGGGTAGCGGTTATGCGCTTCAAAATCTACTCGCTTTCGCTTTTGGATTGCCAACCTGTCTACAAGTGGTCTCGTTCCGTTTTGTCAAGTTGTTTTTTGTTATTGCTCAAGTTCATTTTTGTCTCTCCAACATTGTTTTTGTCATCTTGTTGATTATTTTGTAACGGTAATACACAATAATATTGTGATTTGTAGGAAACTTTGCTTACAATAAATTTTCTCTTTAATTCTTAAATCAGTTTTAGAAACCTCGTGGTTGATTTCAAATTTCTTAGTAAAATACTGGTCTATTGGTAATATAAGTTACTTATTACAAATTTTGTTGTTGTCATATTGAACAAATATTGTTTAGTAGTACATTTAACAGTTAAAGTCAGAATCTTACAATTATTATTGAAATCAATCACTAGAATTCTAATACTCTTTTGTAGTGGCTGGTAAAACTTTATCCAGTTGAATTTCATAATTGTTTTACTCATTTACAACATGCATAATTAACTATAATTATAATTAAAATTCATTGTCGATCAGTCGTTAATCAATTTTTTCATATTTCTTGTCTATACTCACACTGGTAATCACCTAAACGTGCATTTCTCTTGTCTTTCCAGAAACTAACTAGTTTCTTAATTTAAAAATCACACTAAACCTCACAAAATTGAATATTAGTTATCAATCTCATTTATTGTTCCTTACATGACAAACTTTATTGATAAATTGATCCTATTGGTCCGTTACATGTAGTTTAGAAATATCTTACACTTTTTGAAATCGAATAAGTATTAATTACTTGATTTGTATAATTCTTTATTTTCGAAACAAGTATATTTAATTTTTAGTTGTAAAATAGCACAGATTTAGCATATTTAATTCATTATAAATTTTACTTTATACATGTTTATTTTCTTAGTAGACAAAATCAACCTTTTCACTTTTTGTCTTTAATTTAATTATATATCTAGTTGTTGTCAATAGAATAAAAATATTTACTTGTACTCATAAAAATAAATTAGTCTTGTCTTTAGTTAACTTTCTATCTAGCTTTTGTCTATTAAATTTACCCTATATGTAGTTCACTGAAAACATACAAAATATTGTGGTCATTTCACCCTTGCCAAATATTGGTTTTACTTGTAATAGTGATACAATTGTTCAATTAGAGTTTGACTTCAATCAAACGATTAAATTTAAATACTCAATTAGTCTATCGGTTAATGTAGTGTGGATACATTAAGTATTATATTAATAAAGTAACAAAGATGTCTAGTCCATTTAATTTATTTTATACAGTGACTTGTGTATCATCACTACTATTAGTTAGTAAAAAATTTTTATTCATCAATTTTAAAATTATATCTAGTCTAAATTGTAATTACAACTATTCAATGAATGTAATATATTATTTAAAAAAATTTCAACACAAAAAATAAACTCTTATAGCATTATCATTTAAACATAGTATTGTAATATTCTCGTCTGGGATATTACAAAATCAAATTTAAAAGTACCTTTGTTGACCAAAGAGTATTTACTCGAAAAAGTTCAAGATACACTTTTTTCATATCAAGAAACAGAAAAAAATCATAGAGTACCATAACAACATGAAAATGTACATTGAAATTGTAAAAAAAGAATTTTATCCCTTATACTTAACAATTTTTAATATATTTAGCTATAGTTTCAATTCCTGTTAATGATCTGTTAATATGAGTTCACATGGAAGGCTAAGGAGCCTTCACTTTACTTTACTTTACTTTGGATTAATTTTAGCCCACTAAAAATTTCATCATATATCAGCCTATTACTTTAAATAAATTATTCTACACAATACAGAACATAATATATTGTGTTAACAAATGAATTGAACAAATATATTTTTTTAGCTTAAATATTTTTTAAATATAGTATAAACTTTTAAATGCAAAAGAATAGGAAATATTTAAATATTAATCTCATGAACATGAAATTTAAACTTAAAGTTATTGATAATTTTACCTTCAATTTAGATCACTGAAAAAAGTTATGTAAATTTTTAAGCCAGAAAATTTTTTTTATATCTGACCATTGATGATTTTTTTTGCTAAATAACATTTCATTTTAAGTTAGTAGTAACAATGTAAAAAATAAAGACATACACCCTATTCTACACAGCTCAAATAATTTTTTATCTATTGCATCCATTAACATTTTATGTTCTGATGATAATCACTTTAATAATATAAATTTATTCAGTTAATAAGTTTGTTATTTACTTTAT